GCTGTTACACATACTGTACAGCTCCATATACAAAACATAATGTAACAGCAGCAATGCCACCATTATTTTAATGCACATGCTAATTTGCTTAAATCTGATACTTTAACAATAATGTGCTGACTAATACAAACTGTTATATCAGTTCAGGTCATTAAACACATTTTTTTTACTTGGTCGTGACATTTAAACATTTTCTCAGACTATAAGCCAAGAAAGATTTAATTTCACTTTTCCATATGCCTTAGGTCACTTGTTAATTTAAGAAAGAGTGTAAAGTTGAAAGCAATTAATTGTACTCATTAAGCAGTCAGATATTAATGAGCCAGTGCCAACCAGCACAAGTGTTTTTAATTTTGTCTCCACCTGTGACTTCTCTGGATGAGAAGTTTACATGTTATTTAGTATTTTGGCAAAAGCTCAATCACAGGTATTCTGGTCACAGTCAAAGCTAACTTTCTTTGGTACTGACTGTGTAAAAGAAAATAAATACAATTACCCTAAAACATCTTATGATCTGATGCAAAACATCAAAAGCCTCTCATAATAAGAACAAAAGGTTTGCTTTGTCATGTATGATAACGATAAAAATTGAGGATAATTTTTTCAAACACCTTTCATGTGGGGCTGAGTGTGTTGAGCTGAGACAGGCTTTTATTACAACATTTGATTCTGATATTTTTTACATCATTCTATGTCCTGAATAGTATAGCACTGTCAGCCTAACATATGCTCAAAGGAGTTTCACAGGATGTTGTTTCATTCATAACACTATTATTTCAGGCAAGGACTCCACTGAGAAAGACAAACAATTGCAATAATGCTTATCTTAATGACGTTCACCTTGAGGGTATGCAGATGTATTTAATCCTGTGAAACATTCCTGAGATTTACCCTGCCTCACTGGTCAGGCCATTCACACACTGCCTGGGTGCACTGTGTGGATTAAGTGCACTGTCACAGCCATCATACACTGGCATGATGTAATGTTAGCAGCCTAAGAGATGCACCACAGTGGTGTAAAATCAGACTATACAATTAACAGGATGTGAGAATCAGATCGATACATGGTAGTGGAATCTGGTAGAGTGCAACTCTATGAATTTGCACAGACCCAAAACTTTCACTCAAAGTAAGGAACATCTTACCGCATCACAGTAAGATGTGGTACTGGGTGAACACCTGGCAGATGATTCAGTATATAATGTGGAAGAGTGCCGATTATTTTATGTAAGGAGCACAAACACGAACTACAGAGAGAATCTGGGAAATGGTGTACTTTGAGAAGCCTTAGATATTTCTATTGACATAGTTTTAGTCTTCTAGACAATATGAGGAAGCAATAACAAAGAAAACAGAATGTAAAGGATGTGCAGTTAATAGTGCAGAAATGAATCAAAGGATGTGGTGTTCAAATTGGACAATGCGTTAGTAAAACTGAATTTAAAATACAGTGTATGACTTTTGGGGTGGCACGGTGGTGCAGGGGTTAGCTTTGCTTCCTCTGGGCGCTGGGGCTCTGGGTTCAGCCCCAGACCTGGGCTGCTATCTGCGTACAGTTTGTATGTTCTTTCCATGTCTGCATGGGTTCCCTCTGGGTGTTCCTGTTTCCTCTCACAGTGCAGAGGCATGCTGGTGGCTTAATGGCCCTGCTGTGAGTGTGTGGCGTGTCTGTGTTTGTGTCTCTGTGTGACGGCCCTGCGAGGAACTGACGTCCCATCCAGGGTGTTTCCTGCCTCGGGCCCGCTGCTTACTGGCCTCCCTGCAACCCGGACTTGGCGAAAGCAGTTTGAAAATGGAAGAATGGGTGGATGGGGGATTTTGGTCACCATGTTACAAAAAAGATGTTTCTACTCTGTATTCACTCCACAGAAGACTCACTTTGGGACATAAAAGAATGTCCTACTGACAGACTAAAAGACCTGAGTCTTTTCAGTATGAAAGAGAGAAGACTACAAGGGGACTCCCTTCAAGTATCAGCGTACAAAATTCTAAAGGGTTTTGACAAAGTGAACCCACTTCAATTCTTCAGAATCAACAGCCGAACACAAAACTGAAGACAAATTTGGAACCCGCAGGAGAGTGTTTTTAAAATTAAGAACACTAGTCTTTTTACACATGGGGTTGTGGGAGTCTGGAGCAAGCTACCCTTCAATGTTGTTGATGCCAATAACCTGGCTTCTTTTAAGAAATGTCTGGGTGAGATTCTCCCACCACATAGCTACCAAATGAGCTAGAGGGGGCCAAAGGTTTCATCTTGTTTGCAAGGATCTTTTGTGACGTTCTTGCGTACTGTATTTGTAATTTTTGTCATTTGTATTTTTTTTCAATATTAAATGTATTATTGGATAAAAGATAACATGTTGGCGTTCTTTTTCAAACTTGCCAATAATAGTAGACTTGTAAACTCAAAAACAATAAAATGTTATTTTTCTCAATGAAATTGTGTGCAGAGGCTTTATATACAAAGAAAATATTTTTTTTGTTTCTTATGAACAACGATTCTTAAGATGACTTTAGTTTTCCTGGTTTAGGTTCAGTAAAGCTCTGTAACATCAATGTAAAATAGTTTCTCACCAGAATGACATACTGCACCACATTCTGCACATTATGTTATTTTTTCGTGATTTTAAAACAATGGCTGTTTAAACGTTTTTAATTCGATTAAATTCTGAGTTTGACAAAAGAATAAGCAGCGGAAATGAATTGCAATGTGAAAAAGCAATCGCAGTACCCTTCTCGATTATGAATTAAAATAACCATTTATAACAATTTAACAACCCACCACCAGGATCACACACGCACAAATATAGTACTACCATCTGCAGTCTCCGAGCTTTTTAATCCAATGAGCAGAAAAATGCAATGGGTGTTTAAGCGACACACAAGAGGCAAGTTAAAAACAACAGCTTGAACTGTTGATTCCCAGAAGAACTGTCACAGGACTCCAAAAGATGCTGAACGGAAAACGAATATGAAACAATGATACAGAATATGGTACTAGGAAACCCCCTTTGTCAGTTTAGAAGCGCTAATATGCCGTAGCAGAAGGAGATGTTCTGATTCAAGACATGCAGATACCTTGATGTATACATGAATTGACAGGCAATGCACGATTTAGACGCTGAAGTGCGCAGCGCTGCTACTTGCCTGCGAGTTCCATGCATGTTAAGTAGTCTTGTTGTTTGCAAGTTTCCCAGTCGAGAGATAGCAAAGATTACAAAGCAATGCAACTCTGCCATTCATATTATAAACCTTTTAAACTCACCGAGAGGAACTCCAGTGTACCAACGTAATCCCTCTCCGTCTTCAAAAGTTCATTTAAAACGCAGACTCGCAAACGGAGCTGTTTTTCCAAATCTTTCCCGCTTTCACCTCTGTGTTCTGATTTTCCTTCTTCAGTCATTGTGCTAATAATTATTCAAGTGTTCCCGAGTAGGCAGCTGCGTCCTTTAACTTTATTCCAGTTTTATTTCCTGAAAAAACAATCGTCTCAATGTTACATGGTTACAACTGAACAAGTTTTACAGAAGCCGTAAACAAATCTTGAATTAGGTTCCTGATTTTCTAAAAAAAAAAATTAAATTGGGAATAAAAACAAACAGACGTAAAAAGATTTCTTGAATGGAAAAAAAAAGATGTGAGGCAGACCGGGTTTCCTACACTTGCCTGTTTAAACTGAGCAACCCAGGCATTTGGACATTAATCAAAAACTTGAGTCCATGTGACTCGCGGGACCTCCATCCTAAATCCAACCTCCTTCCACCAAAAACTGGGGGAAAATGGACAGGAAATACATGCCTGGGAATGCGTGCCAATTAAGCCAGCCTGACACAAAAAGGGAAATGTTGGTGATGTGAAAGTTATTAAGGTATAGTTTTCCCAGGCGCACAGATTATTATTGTCTGGAATATTGTCAAGATTATTACTGTTTTTACGGGGTCAGATTTACAACAGTAAGTTATGTAAAGAGTTAGCACGCGTAATAAAGATTTCTTGTAACTTTTAGATAAGTGGATAATATTCCTACTTTTACCCAGCTGGGGAACACCTTAAGTACTATACGAACCTTTTACAATGAAAAAAAATGTTCTCACGCACATTGTTATAACACCCTCACACTAAAACAAAATATGCTGTTTTTAGAAATGTGAGAAAATATTTCCCTGCAGTCTGAAGCTAATTGAAAACTAGTTTACTGCAATAAAAAAATAAGTAAACAATGGGGGTATTCCTCCATCTTTGTATTTTAACGGATTTTTCTTTTAGTTTCTCTTATTTACATTGACGCCCTTTTACCTTACGAAGATTACACACAGTATAAAACACAGGTTGGACAGAATCCCTATCTAAATATTTCCTACTGCCCTCCCCAATAGTATCATTCCAGATTATTCCAAATTCTTTTATATGGGTGTTAAATTATCTTCTGAATGCAGACATGTTTAATGTCTTCCATTAAACAATTACCACTAATGACCCTCCAAGGACAACGGTAGGTCCTTTGACTTTTTAGAACAGTGGTACTTAACAAATCTTTATGCTTCAGGCGAAAAAAACAGCCCCCAACAATCCAAAAGTGATCAATAAATATCAAGATAAACTCCTAAAAGTCACAGAAGAGGCTACAATGTTATGGACGGGGACATTGGCGACAAAAAAAATACTGCTATCTGCTTTTAAACAAACTACGATCAAATGTATTTTTGCTTTCTTTACTTTGCTTTATACCCTATGTAAGTGTTGATACCATTGTTGTCAATGGAAACGACCCATGTTTATTTTGTAGAGAAGTGTCGCCCCCCCCCATCTCCCCTCCCCCCATCCTCCGCCCCAACTATAGTGGCTGGAGTCGACTCCTGAACAGTCAAGTTCCCCATCGGAGCTTGTTTAGTTTTGAGACTCTTTTCCAAGGATGAGGGACTTCTTACATGGGCTGGTGAAGTACTGGTGCTGCCGACATGTGTATGACCCCAAATGACCGGCAGAGCATGTCAAAAACTAATTCCTATGTTTCCAAGTTAACATTCCCTTACAGTATATGAAACAATATAAAACTAAAGGTGATTTATAGGTACCCCTATGATATGAGTATTTTTTATCATTAACGATTAGCAGTTACAATCTTCAGGGCAATTAAAAACATAATCTTCCTCGACTTCATAGTCTTTATTTTCTACTTTTGTGCAGATACGTTTTTTTTTCCTTTCTCCTAAGAAAATGGAACTGGCAAATTGATAGCTATTGTTTGCAAACGTCTTGTATTAAAGGAGGAAATAAAACTGAAATGCCAAATGTGCAAAAAAAAATGTGCTAAGAATAAAACAACAGGTTTTATAAAATTATATATAATATATTAAAGTATCGTGTTAAAACATTCACCGTTTACCCTGCCAAAGAAGAAACGGTATGCGTTTTTGTTTTCGTTTACGTTTAAACGTGTTAACGTCTTCTTAATGCTACTATGTTTATATTTGCAAATGTCTTTAATAAAATATATGCTCGCTTTCAACGTAAGTTCTTTGTATAATTGTTATACTTATGTTTTCTTAGAAGAATACGATGAAAATGAATAACAACCTTGACTATAATATTTATTGTAGCAATTTTCTAATGTGATGTATGGCTTTTAAAACTGCATCAACCGTCATAATGTGGATCTTTATTTTTAAGTATAATATAATAACGTGAAATTGTATGAGCAGGAAACTAAATTATCTGCTCGGGGAATGGTAATTCCGTTGTCGACATACATTCCCAGAGAGTTAATTAACTGCATTACGTTTTAGGAGATACACCAGTTCTGTTCCAGGGCAAAGCACCCGAAAGCTGAAGCCGATGTTTCTACAAACAGCTACTTTTCTTTGGCTTTCCATCTGAAAGGTTTTTCCATTTCAATTAAGCTAAACAGCGGGTCATATTGTTAATTGTTTTTTTTCTTTTATACAATAAAGCACTAAGTAGAAGTTTATCGTAAGAAGTTTATTTATCGTAACCTTAAACTGAATTGGCTTTAGGAATCGATCTTAAAGAATCGATTGGAATCCATTCCCAAACCAATTTCCAGTTCAGATTTCCGTATTCATCGAATTAACGGACTTTCAATTAAGAATCGAATCCTTTAGAACCGAGCTCGAAACTGGTTCGTGAATCAACTCGACGCGTTTTTGCGAGGATCTCTTCAAATCCGCTCATCTTGCTCCAACGTGAACCTGTTTTTCACCGGGCAGTAGTCCACCGGAACTGACGTAAGGTCTATCGGCAAAAACGTTCATCGCCGCCAGACATGACTAAAAATAACGTGCAGTTTTTAAGAAGTAATCAGACTTCTAAAAGAAAAATATATATCTGCATTCGCCAGAACACCAACAGCGTTAATTGTAGCCGATTACCAAACTGACTTTTTCCCCTAAAGGTTTCCTTGTATGTGTAACCTTTCAATTGTACCGCTCTGAACTCTAACGTTCTCAACACTCCTCCGTGTCTGTAAGTCGCACCCCTTGCGCGACTTGGAGAAATGTAGTATCTTCTTGCAGTTTAAATAACCTTCCTACTTTCCGTTAAACAAAAACATATTGTAACGCATACGGCCAACATTGCTGGTTGTGCGAGCCAGTTCACCAGCGCGATGACGTCACCACCCTTCCCCGTGAACAGCAGGGGGCTGACCTGAGGCAGCAGCGGGGACCCGAGAGCTCTACAATATATATACTGTACACAATTTAACGGGTGCTTTTATGCAGCTCGTCAAATTGAAATTACTATTTATCAGAAATTAGTCACACCTCAAACTTAAGTGTCATACTGAAAGGAAGACTGAAAGAGACATTCTCAGCTGTTAACACCTTCTTCAGAAGTGGGAGTAAAAGAAAACTCCCTGAGAAAACTGAGAAAAGATGAGAAAACTCTCATCATTCTTAGAACGGATATAAAGCACTGAAGGAAAACAGTGTCTTTCCCACCGGCCCTGTCTTCCGTTTCTCTTGTGCTTTGCATCAGAAGCTTTATCACAAATCATACAATAGATATGTAGCACAAAAGTTAACTACAGAATAGCAACAGTTAGCCGATATCACGCAGAGCTTTCTCAATATTAGCCTGCGTGAGCGGCAAACGTTTGAAAGGCAGTGCTGTCATGTTCCCTGCATAAATTAACTATTGTTGGGATTATGGAGAAAACACTGGTAAACATCACCTGAAAAATTGAAGTATAGGCACCTCATATTCATTTGACTGATAATATTGCTGCTGAGTCTTTCAGTATGTCATTGAAGATGCTCAGTATTTCCCCTAATCCAGCCTTCAACCTATGCTTACCTCTCCTCAGGTTCCAGAAATCCATCCGAAAGTGAATCAATACACGAGAGGAGCAGTTTACATCTGTTACTTAATTAGTATCTTCTTACCTTTCCTACCATTTCTGTTCTGGATCATTTTCTGATATTGTACGATATCTATTTACAATATTGGAACGGGCAGCCCACTGAGGCTCAGCAGGTATGAGCCTGGTCAGTACCTGGATGGGAGACCCCCTGGGAAAAACTAAGGCTACTGCTGGAAGAGGTGTTCATGGGGCCAGTAGGGGGTGCTCACCCCTGTGTCCTGGTAAAAATTCCCCCTGGCCTTTACCAATTATGGCCTCCTAATAATCCCTGTCTCTGAACTGGCTTCATCACTCTGTTCTCCTCCTCACTGATAGCTGGTGTGTGGTGAGTGTACTGGTGCCTTGTGGCTGCTGTTCCATCACTCAGGTGGGGCAGCACATTGGTGATGGTGAAAGGGAGCGCTCTGAGTGGAGTGTCCAGAAATTATTATTATTGTTGTTGTTGTTGTTGTTGTTGTTCACCTTGTTTGTTTTCTAGCCTTTGGAAACCATGGGGAACACTTGCTCATCAAGGAAGTGACTTGCAGAAGCTTGTGTTGGGGACGGACGAAAATGTGGCATATTTCTCAATGCTCAAGAGTGCAGCTCTGGACAGCATCTGCCTGACACCTAAAAAAGCATGCTGGATTGCAGGTCGAAGCTCTGTTTCCATTTGTTTCCTGTAACAGACAGAGTTAATATGTAGATACACAGCATTCAAAGAAGAGCAAGTGATTTCAAATTTAGTGCTCAGCTTTCTGCAGTGCAAATGTACAGTTTTACTACCAACATGTCAGACCCATGGACAGACGTCCCAGCTTTGAAAAATTGATTTCAGGGAGGGGGGGTCATCCCTCCTGTTAAAACCTGTGGACCGGGGTGGTCCCCTTGAAAAATATCACAGCTATATAATTAAATAATTCGCTGATAGATGCTATAATATACAGTATATGCAATACACTAGAAATACTATAACTCACCAGTCCAGTTGAATAATCTCAATTTCTTTGCAAACTTTTGTTGTACTGACATGCGGCTTGTTTAACAGATTTGAGAAAAATTTGGGAGCGGGAGGCAATTCCTGGGAGATTATGAATCACTTGCGGGAGTCAGGGAAGAGACACTGATTTCTGAGAGACTCCTGGAACTTCCAGGAGACTTGGGATGTCTGCATGGAGGAAAGTAATTACTGACACTTCAAGAAAATGCCCTAAGTAGTTTCACTGGAGTACAGTACATCCCAGCTATTGATGCTTTGGTGTCCCACATTTTGCTGATGCATTTCGTTTTCATTTTAGGCCTTAATTGTACTTCATTTTAGGACGTTTTTCTTGCTAGTTTGTTTTGATACTTCTATGACATGAC